GAATGCGCGTTGATTATTGTCCCAACCAATGAGAGGTTGATTATGAACCAAGCTTTTGTATAACTTGAGCTCCTCACAAATCCTCCTATACTCTCCATAGGAACCAAGAACCGGATCTTTCTGTCTCCATAGAGCTTCCCATGTCAAAGAATCAGACAGCTTGGTACGGTCTTCTTCACGTACGGTCCGTACCATTTTCTGTACGTTACTAACACCAAAGACTTTGTGCACGGCCTGAAACTCTTTGGTCTTGCGGGCCGGAAAGTAAGGCGATAAGATGCATTCGTTGTTGCATTTCTTCCTTTGGTGTTTACATGAAGCACAAGCTTGATGCGACGACGAGTTATTGGAGATGTTGGTGTTAGTGTTGTTGTTAGAGTTCTGTTGCATCATATCATGTCCCTAGTAGTTGAAAATTGAAATGATAAAGCATATATAAAAGGTTACTGATCGATAAGGTTAATATATTATATCAAAAAATTTAGAAAGGAATTGACTTGATCATTTATATAGGGTTGATAAGGTTTTTAACCAATTATTCTTTCGAATATAAGGTTTTTGAGATATTGTGTAGCCAAAAGTTTATGTTTTTGATGATTTGATATAAAATTGAAGTTTTTTAAAACTAATATTTACATGGTTAAAAAGAAGTTTACATCATAAATATTTGGATATATATAATGTTTGGGTATTTTTAAAATTGCGTTCAAAATCTACATTTTTATAAGCCCATGAAAAGTCTAAAGATGTTATAAAATCCAAAATCGTAAAGAATACAAAAGTGTCCAAAAGCTAATATTATGAGATATATGATTTGGTCTTTCAATCATTCTATAATATGGAAAAATGCTCTAAATATTTCACGTGTAACAAAACTTTTGTATTAGTGCGGATGCTATAAATTCATTGAAATCACATATATGCGCGCGAGTGTACATGTGTGTATGCATGATTCTAGTTGATTAATTGAAGCATGATAAAAATGTCCACACACAGCACCGTATATAGTCACAATTTACAAGGAAAGAAAGAGGAAAGCAAATATCTCAGAATAATAAGAGTTTGAACAAAAGTTCAAGAGTTTTCATACAAACCTCTCTTGCCTCTTTTCTTTTCCTTCATCTATGGATTAATAGCAAATTGAGATATGGGTTTGTATTAATAATAAGGCTTATTGGTATTTATTATTTTTATTTGAGAAAAATAAATAAATAATGGTGCACAAAGAGTTTGTCTAATGAACATGAAAAGATTGTTTGGTTAACGAAAGAAAAAGATGTTTGGATGAAAGATCGATTATAAGTTTTTAGGTTGCTCATGATAAAAGACAAATAACAACTAGGAAATCAATAAACAAATCGATTTGTTCTTTATTTGAATTTTCTTAAAAATTATAATTGGGAAAATATCATTTTTTTCTTATTATAAGTGTATATTATTTCTCAGCATTTTGGTGAAAACGTGTGGAAAGAAGAATAAGAATATGTTAGAAACCAATATATGTGAAAATTTTGGTAGTCAAATATATTACGTACTTGATAGTTGATATACGTAGCCAAGAAATAGTGATAGCTAGAGTAATGCAATGTCGGACTTATGTGAAAGCCATAATATACGTTAAATACTTTATGAACTTTCTTACAAAATATTTTAACATATATTACTAATCAGAAGAATAAAAAAATTGTAAAATATTTAAATTTTAATATGCATCCAAAATGAATTTTTTTTTTGTTTGGTCAAAATTTGAAATGAAAATTTATATCCTGCATTATGAAATCGAAAATTCAATGTCGATATATATATTTTTTAAAATGATGTGTGGACACTAGAATTACAAAGATTGAGATCGAAAGATAACTTTCTTTTTTTTTTACGTCTAAAGATAACTAATTCCATAACTCAAATGGATCGGTGTGACAGAAAATCAAAAAACAAAAACCAATTAAATTTGTTGGTTCTTTTCTGTCGAAGATTATGGGCCAAAAAACAAGTAGGGGGAAATATTCTAGTAATTTTTAATTTTATTGAATATTATGTGATCACTAATATTTTGCAGTATTTTATATGATTGGTCAAATTATTTTTAATAAATATATTACAAATGATACTTTTTAATAGAAAAGTAATTTTTTAATATCTGCGATTTTAGCTAAAACAACTTACATTTTGAAACAGAGATAATATTATTGATGATCCAACGGCTGAGATTAAAGCAAAAGGTTGCAGAGATCGAGATGATCCAGATCTAAAGTCAAAATTCATAACAAAACATTTGACCTTATCACAAATCGTAGTTCCCAATGAGAAGTTTTCTTTCATTAAATTAGTTTTCTCAAAGGGTATTTACGTAATTTTGATAATTACTAATTTTATAAAAATCGTTTATCGTTGACGCATCTTCTTCCTCTTCCTTTCTCTGCAAATTTCTCACCAGAAAATTGAAATCGGCGGTCGGAAATTCGATTATCGGAAACCTTAAGTAAATGTCTGAAAATCGTGCACTCCAGCGAGCTCATATTCTCGCCAATCACATCCTTCAATCATCTCCTCCACCTTCGAGCATCTCCCTCACGCGCGAGGTATGTCTGCAATACTCACCACCGGAGCTTAACGAGAGCTATGGATTCGAAGTCAAGGAGATGAGGAAATTGCTCGACGGGCATAACATAGAGGATCGGAATTGGCTTTATGGGCTTATGATGCAGAGCAATCTGTTTAATCAGAAAGAGAGAGGTGGTAAGATTTTCGTCTCGCCGGATTACAATCAGACGATGGAGCAACAACGAGAGATCACCATGAAACGGATCTGGTACTTGCTCGATAAAGGGGTTTTCAAAGGATGGTTAACGGAGACGGGTCCTGAGTCCGAGCTCAGGAAATTAGCTTTGCTCGAAGTTTGTGGGATTTATGATCACTCCGTATCCATTAAACTCGGTGTTCATTTTTTCTTGTGGTATGTTTCAAAATTATATTGTGATAATTTGGTAGGAAATGTTGAGATGATCCAATTGATTGCAATATCCTTGTTTCGCCTTTTTGGTCGAAACCATGGTTAGAGTTCCAATGGTTATAGAAAAGAAATCTTGAGATGTGTGTTCTGAGGATTTAGATAGTTCTTTATCTCTTATTGAGTGTCATATGGAGTAAGGGAACACTGTTAGCCTCATAGTTAGAATTTGTTTTCTGTGATATACTCAGGGGTAATGCTGTGAAGTTCTTTGGAACAAGGCGTCACCACGAAAAGTGGCTGAAGAACACCGAAGATTATGTTGTCAAGGGATGTTTTGCAATGACTGAGTTAGGCCATGGAAGTAATGTAGGGATTTTGAGTTGCCATTTTTTCTCCATATTCAAACTACATGTCTTGGTGATCTTTCACACCTATATTGATTTCTTTTGGTCTAGGTTCGGGGAATTGAAACAGTGACTACTTATGACCCAAGAACTGAGGAGTTTGTGATTAATACTCCCTGTGAATCTGCTCAGAAGTATTGGATCGGTGGGGCAGCTAAAGTAAGTAGTCATTATACCAAAATCCTCTTTTCTGCTTTAGTTTTTGTCATTTATCTTCTCCCCCTGGTTTATGATATACTGACTTTGTATCACTTTTGGTTGTTCAGCATGCAACCCACACAATTGTGTTTTCACAGCTTAACATAAACGGAACCAACCAGGGGGTTCATGCCTTTATCGCGCAAATTAGGGATCAAGATGGCAACATATGTCCAAACATCCGCATTGCCGACTGTGGACACAAAATTGGTTTAAATGGTGTTGACAATGGCCGAATATGGTATTACATACAACCCAATATATGTAATTTTATTTTATGCTAAGGGTGGGTACTTCATGGATGTTTGCTCTACGATTATAGGTTTGACAATCGTCGTATTCCAAGAGAGAATTTATTGAACTCAGTTGCTGATGTTTCGTCTGATGGAGCGTATGTGAGCGCAATTAAAGATCCTGATCAGGTAAATGCTACATCTTGATACCATTTTTAAGTTAAAACTTTATTATGCTTGTCGAGGTGCAGTTGCAATGTTTCCAATTTCATTTCAGAGATTTGGAGCATTCATGGCTCCTTTGACCTCTGGTCGGGTCACGATTGCATCAAGTGCAATTTATTCTGCTAAGGTACAAATTTCAGTAGATTTATTTTGATCCCTTATATTAAACTTTGGTGAGATAGTGAACCTGACTGTTTCAGGAATAATGTAATTGATTTAAGAGTTTTACTGTGGCAGGTCGGATTAGCCATTGCTATAAGGTACTCACTATCGAGAAGAGCCTTCTCTATCACAGCCAATGGTCCTGAAGTCCTCCTCCTTGATTATCCAAGCCATCAAAGGCGACTACTACCACTCCTAGCAAAGACGTAAGGATCTTTATAAATTATGACCTTTAATACGTTGATCTGCTTGATTTTGCCTTCATTTCAGCTTAGGCCATTAATACGTTTTGTGCTAAGTATTGTTATTTTCTAATGGAGAAATAACATAGATATAGTTAATTTTTGTTGTTTCTTCCTCTCTTATTTCTGTCAAAATTGGGACTAAAGCTCAAACAGAACACACTGTCACTTCTATGCTCAAGTTGTTAGTTGTGAGCTACAGTTTCCATTTATATCCATTAAATTTTGAAGTCAGTTATCAAAAGAAGTGAAAAGCATTTCATGGCTTTGCCAACTTTCTTAAGATGGGTTGTCTTCTTCTCATTTATAATAGATATGCTATGAGTTTTGCTGCAAATGACTTGAAGATGATTTACGTGAAGAGGACACCTGAAACCAACAAAGCCATCCATGTTGTTTCAAGTGGGCTCAAAGCTGTTCTCACCTGGCACAATATGCGAACACTTCAGGTTAGAATCAATACACTGCACACGTTTTTATGTGAGAAAGATTCTAGGAGCCATACTGAGGTTTTTATGTTTGGTTCTTTCTAAGGAATGTCGTGAAGCTGTTGGAGGACAAGGTGTGAAAACAGAAAATCTAGTTGGTCAGTTGAAAGGTGAATTTGATGTGCAGACTACATTTGAGGGTGACAATAATGTATTGATGCAGCAGGTAGGCTAAGGCACATATTTGTGAACATGATCTTCTTGTTTTGACAGTACAATCTGACTTATCCGTTCTTATGTGGAATTTAGGTGAGCAAGGCACTTTTTGCTGAATATGTATCGTGTAAGAAGAGAAACAAACCTTTCAAAGGATTGGGATTGGAGCACATGAACAGTTCTCGTCCTGTATTGCCAACTCAACTCACATCTTCTACCCTCAGATGCAACCAATTCCAGGTCAGTGCCTCTTCATAAACATTTTCCCTCTTATCATTTTATTTAGATGAGTTCAACTTTTTGCTAAATATCTCTCGTATGTGTCCCTGCCAGTCAAATGTCTTCTGCTTAAGAGAGCGAGATCTTCTGGAACGATTTACTTCTGAAGTTGCACAGCTTCAAGGAAGGGGAGAAAGTCGAGAGTCATCTTTCCTCGTGGTAAACATTCTTTCTCGCATCATTTTTAAAAACCTCTTTTTTTCCCTTCTCCAAACTTCAGTAATGGTGCCCTGCTCCTTCTCTGCTTTTCGTCCTTGGTTGCAGAATCATCAACTTGCTGAAGACTTGGGTAAAGCTTTCACAGAGAAAGCAATACTCCAAACCATTTTGGATGCTGAGGCCAAACTACCTGCTGGCTCAGTGAAGGTAAGTAAACATGATTATTGTTTGTAACGTTTTGAGCCTATTTAGTTGTATCATGGTAGTTTTGCTAGGTAGGGGTTCAAGGAAAGAGTACCTTAGGCTTCCTTATCATATGATTTACTTGCAAAGTAATTTGTTTGTAGACAATAGGTTACATGTACCTCTTTATAGATTGTAAAAAATGTGAGAGTAGAAATGTTTACTTCTCTAAGCATGAAAGTTCATCGTATTTTAGTCACCATAGGGAAAAGCAGAGCTTTGTTCTGTATGTAGTTGTTATATAGACTACTAGTACTACTACAGTAAGAGTGAAGACTACAAAAGGAGGAAGTAAACTTAAAACTGACCAGCTCCATGTTAATGACAGGATGTGTTAGGTCTTGTGAGATCAATGTACGCATTGATCTGCTTGGAAGAAGATCCATCGTTGCTTAGATACGGCTACCTCTCTCGGGATAATGTTGTAGATGTGAGGAGAGAAGTGTCTAAGCTGTGTGGAGAGCTTAGACCTCACGCGCTTGCACTCGTGGCTTCATTCGGGATTCCAGACGCGTTCTTGAGCCCGATTGCATTCAACTGGGTCGAAGCCAACGCTTGGTCTTCAGTTTAGTAATAATCTCTTCTATAAACCCACATCTCTTACAATTTATATTTTGCTAATATCTCTATTTATTGAAGCTGTTGTATGTAATAAAAATGGGATATGTATGTAATATGTATCCAGGGTTTAAATATTTTCTTAAACCGGTCCAGCCAAGTGGAACTCTAAACAAAGTTTGATTATATTAATGGAGTCATCGATGGATGATATATAATGGTGCAAAATCATATCGTACGTTTTTATCATCTTGGTAATGACTTTAAATAATTATTATCACCTGCAAAATCATGTTTTTGGCTTTTAATAATTGTAGCAATTGAGCATCACATATCAATAAAATATGGGCAATTACAAAAATGACACATTTTGTGTGCACATTTACAAAAATATCACTTAGGAGTATCTATTTACAAAAATGTCACT